GCCGGGCTGGCTGACCTGCGCGCCCCGCTGCGGGCCTGCGTCGCCTCCTGCCGCGGCGAGGGAGGCGACCCGGCTGGCGGGGCGCGGATGGCGGATCCTGGGAGGCTGCCAGGGTAAAAGTAGTTCCTTTGATGAGTGAGAAGTGGAAACCTTCGGGAAAGAGAACAGATACAAACAAAAAGCATCAGGTCGGGGGTTGGAGATTTAGCTCAGCGGCACAGCGCCTGCCTGGCAAGCGCGAGGTCGTGAGTTCGATTCCCGGTACCGGAAAAAAAGCATCAGGCGTTCCTGCACCCGGGCGGTAACCGCTAGTAACAGACCGCTAACGCTGCTCCCCTTCTGCCTGTGCGCGTGAGCACCGGCGCGCGTGTGTGCACGCGTGTGACGCCCCTGCAGGGTCCTATGCTTGCGGCCTTGTTCCTGTCCGCAACCGCGTCTTAGGAGCAGTCTCTCGGTAAGGACTGTCCTGAAACGTGACTCCTAAAGGCTTTGCACTCTGCAGAATGAGCGTGGGAAACCCGTTCAGCCGTGTCTTCAGGCGGGCAGGTCGGGGTCGTGGACACGCTCCGGGCTTGGGGACGCCCGCCGGGCCTCGCCGCCGCTCTCAGCCTGGGACACGGTTACCCCGAGCTCTCAGCACCTGGGTCTTCTCACCTAAGGGAGAGAGACGCTGTTATTCTAGCTGAGCGCAGAGCGTTTGAAACAGTGCCTGGCCCAGGGCCAGCAAGGCTAAGTCTGTCGAGCCTATTATTTGTCTTTTTCCTGCGTTTTTATATAACTCCTATCAGACTTTTCCTAAAATAATCATGATTTTCTTCGAAGCGAAAAGTTTTAGCTTAGCACCTTGGTTTTGGTGCTGCTGTTATTGTGGTTGCCTTCTTTGGTTGTTAAGTTTGTTTTTGCTGGGCTGGAGATTTAGCTCGGCGGCACAGCGCCTGCCTGGCAAACGCAAAGTCGTGAGTTCGATTCCCGGTATCGGGGAAAAAAAAGTTTGTTTTTGCTTTAAAATAGCTTTTCAGTGAGGATTTAAAGACTGAGGAATATCGCAAGAGAACAGCAGGCTAAGAGGTATTAATATCAAGTGCCACGGAGGACAGCCTCGAAAAATCGGTTTTAAAAAAAGGAATAAAGAAGGAGGAAAGTTGAGTGTTTTTTAAAACTAACTCCCATCACGGTGTTATCTCCCAGCAATCCATTTGAGTATCAGAGCGAAAGACCTTTAAAAAAAAAAAAATAGTAACAAGGGAAGCTGGGGACAGGGCACACTGAAAATATGCTATTTTTATCACTTTCGTCTGAGTCTGAAAGCACTTCAGAGTAATGTTTAAAAAACACTAATGAAAAGTTTTTAAGACCATGCACCTGTCGCATTTTGAGTCTTCTGGCAAAGAACTAACCCCGCTTCTCCACATGTCTGTGCTCAGTTAAGATCTGTGCAGTAGCTCGACGCGAACATTTTTACCTTAATCCCCTTCCTCCGTGGGTAAAGAACAGCTCAAAAAGACTTGATGTCAAGTCGTACAAGGGCCGAGCGCGTCCTTTGGCTGCAGGAAGCAAGCTGGGTGAAGTGTGCGTCGTGCTTCGGGCTGTCTTCGGCGGGGTGAAATCCCGACGGACATCCCCAGGGGCGCTGGTAGCCATAGGGAAGGCGGGATGCTCCCGGGGGAGGCTGTCAGGGGCCTCATGGAGAAAGCGCGCAAAGCCAGGCCCCAGGAGAGGCTCTTGTAGCTTGAGGCAGTTGTTTTGCAGCCTCTCAGTGGGAGACCGGGTGCACCAACTTTCGTTCTAAGCTGAGCACCTCACCCTGAGAATCTGCTAGTCAGAAAAGAGATCCCTCGCCAGAGCAGCGCGCCCCGCTCCCCAGCAGCACAGGAAGCTTGCCCAGCGATCCCTTCCTCCGCAATGCTTCTCTTAATCCGAAGCAGCTGAGCATGGAAAGCGCGTCTCACCCGTGCTAACTTTCCGACGCTCCCAATAGCCACCCCCTCCCTAACCCACCCAACGGAGACGCCCCCTGGGCTGGGCCCGGGCTCGCGCGTCCCACCAGCCACTGTCCGTGGAGCGGGCGGAGCTGGCCAGGCGAACGCTTAGGCTGTCCTGGAGGAGCCTGGGGAGCCGGCTGCCTGGAGCAGCGCTTGTTGTCCTAACCCCAGGCCAGGCTAAGCACCCTCTCTGGCCTGGAAGAAGGCTACCTCCGCCCCTCCCCCCGCGGGGCCACTCCCTCCTCTGTCCTCCCGAAGGGTTGGCCCCCACTTTCCGCCAGTCTCTCAGGACCCTGCTGACGGGCGCGACTGCCCCGTGGGTCCCAAGGCCTTCCTGTTGAAGCCAGATACAGGTTGAGCCTTCCTTGTCTAAAATACGTGGAACCAGTGTTCCAGAGCGCAGATGTTTTGGGACGGGGAACATCTGCATATACATAATGAATGTCCCAGGGCTGGGACCCCGTTCTAAACGAGATCCACGCGTGTTTCACGCCCACCCCATGCGTAGAGCCTGCCGGTGATTTTGTGCATCAGCATCTTCAGTGCATCTGCGCTGGTGCCCGTGATAGCAGGTGTGGACTTTGTCAGGACGAAAACACTTTTATTTGGGAGCATCTCAGAGGAGCTTGATTCCTAGCGGAGAGCCCCGCGGCAGCGTGTGCCCCACAGCTGGAACTGAAGCTGTGCGTCAGTGCGAGGCGTGTTCCTCCCACCGCAGCTCACCGTGGCGGGGCAGGGAGAGGCCACGCGGTGGAGCAGACCTGGGAAAGCGCCTCAAGTCAGGGTGCCTGGGAAGGCAGCTGGACGGAGAGAGGAGGAGGGAGGAGGGGCGAGGACTGCCCGGCTGGTGGGGACACCGTGTCGGGCTGAGCGCCTCTGTGCAGGGAGTCCAAGACTTTCATCAGAGCGCATTGTGGTTCTTGTCACCCGCAACACGTGGAGAACGACTTTCCAGAAACTCTGTCCTGGAGTGGGGGGGGCGGGGGGCTACCTGTCTAGGGGAGCCAGCCCTGCAGCCTTAGAAACAGGACACGGGCACATTCTTGAAAATCTGGAGGGTATAGAAGTATTGAAAACCAGGAAATAATCAGAGGCAAGTACTGCTTACCTGTTTCTAGTTATTCTTTTCTACATAAACTTCCTTTTTTTTTTTTTTTTCTTTTTCCTGGTACTGGGAATCGAACTCACAACCTTGCGCTTGCCAGGCAGGCGCTGTGCCGCTGAGCTAAATCCCCAGCCCCTACATAAACTTCTTAAACCATGAACTGTTTTTCTTGTGTGGCTTCACTGAGAGTATTTCCAGGTTTTTTTCTAGACTTAGTTTCCTTTCCCAAGAGCCTTGTAATAAAAATAAGAGCCACTAGCATTCACTGAGTGCTGACCGTACACAAGCACTGTTTAAGTGCTTTACATGTGTGGACTTATTTAAGTCCTTCGAGCAACCTTGAGAATAAGTGTCATTATTATTATTATTATTATTATTATTATTAATTGTCCTTCTGAGACAGGGTCTCGATATGCAGTTCAGGTTGGCCTTGAGCTCACTTTGTAGCCCATGCTGGCTTTGAACTCGCAATGATCCTCCTGACCTGGAGCTCCTCACCTAACCTCTGTGTTTGTCTCTCCACCTGGAATATAAAGCAATAATGACACTGATGGCCGGGTGTGGTGACCCATGCCTGTAATCCCAGCACTCAGGAGGCTGAGGCAGGAGGATCCAGAATATCAGTGGTTTATTTCTTTGTCCTTTCCTTCCCTTCTTTTCCTATCTTTTCTTTTTCAGTACTGGGGATTGAATCCAAGGCCTTTGCACAGAGCTACCTCCCCCGCCCCTTTTTAAAATTTTGTGTTTTGAAACAGGACCTCACTAAGTTACCATGTAGCCCAGGCTGGCCCCAAACTCAGGACCCTCCTGCCTCAGCCTCCCAGAGTCCTGGGATTCCAGGCGTGCACTACCATGCCCAACAGTTATTTATTTCAATTTGAAACCTCTCTCCCATCTGGTTCTTCTTCCTAGAAGGGAAGCAGGCCGCCTGACATTAGCACCTGTGCTCTGTGCCCTTTGCTTTTGTTTTTGCATTAGGCTGATTTTGATAAGGCCGCAGCAGAGGTGAGGAAGCTGAAGTCAAGACCAGAGGACGAAGAACTGAAAGAACTCTACGGGCTCTACAAACAGGCTGTCGTGGGGGACGTGAACATCGGTGACTATACCAGCCTTTGAAAAGATAGCTGTACACTTGGTTTGAACAGCATTTATAGAGTGCCGCTAAAAAGTAAACTTGAAAATCTCTCTGTGCTTCTTTTAACAGCGTGTCCAGCAGTGCTAGATTTAAAAGGAAAGGCCAAGTGGGAAGCCTGGAACCTCAAAAAAGGTTTTTAAATTCTTAAACCAGGTTCACACAAACCTTACTCTGTCACTGCACGGCTCTAACATTGTCTGCTTGTGTCTTCCTAGGGCTGTCAAAGGAAGATGCCATGCGTGCCTATATTTCTAAAGCAAAAGAGCTGATGGAAAAGTATGGAATTCAGAATTCATCAGCGGAGGGTCTGCCTTCAAAGCCTTCATAACGGTATCACGAGCTAACACTGAGGGGGCAGGGGCCCTGCTGACTCCGGGTCGTGGACATGTTCGCCGTCAGCATGAATTACTACACTTACGAGTGTGCTGAAATCACATAGTTGGCTAAATTTTACTTTCTTCAACCAGGTGACTTTAAAAAAAGTTCTTCTGCCGGGCGTGGGGAAGCACACCTGTAATCCCAGCGCTTGGGAGGCCGAGGCAGGAGAATCACCGTGAGTTGGAGGCCAGCTCAGGCTACCTAGTGAGTTCAAGGCCAGCCTGAACTACATAGAGAGACCCTCTTGCACACAAAACAAAAAAGTTCTTTTAAAGAGTTACCACTCCACTACTTTGTATATAAAAACTTCAAAAAAGTATTTGTTCTGTTGTCTCACCTGTTCTTCTGCAATAACTGGGTGTAGCTCTGATAATAAAGGTAGTTTGTTACATTAAGAACTTGCAGGAAGTCGGTTCCTTTGTCACAGCGTGGCGTGCAGCCCCCCCCCCCCCGCCCCATGCAGGGACTGTGGAGTCACAGGCACCTGTGGAGTCCTCGCCCTGTGCCCTCCTCACTAGGGGCCGGGGAGAGGTTACCAGGGTCAGCAGACTTCCCCTCTGGGGGAGGGAGAGTAGCGCACTGTCACAGGGCGGTCGTAAGAACTGACTGAGTTACCTGTAACCTTCCTGCCACACTCAGGCAAATGGTGTGTAAAAGGCAACGAGCTGAAAAGATTTTTTAAAGAAACGAACGGGTTCAGGGTGTGGTTTTGTGATGGAGCGTAGATTCACAGAGCCCTGGGTTTGGTCTCCAGAACCGCACAAAGCAAAAAGAAGGAGCTTATAACTCTATGGCTCTCTAGCTCTTTAAAAAACAAACGGCCCCCATAGAAATACCCACTATTTTTCTTAAAAGTTTTGCACTGAAGACAAAAGAATGAAGCTAAAATATAGCTAGCGATGAACTGTTCCCCTGCTGGGCCCCTTGGGCTCGGTGTTCTTGGAATGAAAATGTAGAGCGGAATATAACGCCGGCCCACGCCTCAGGCCTCCCGGCTGGCTCACTGGCGCTCTGAAAGGAGAGAGCTTCAGCCAGGTGAGGCACAGCGCTGTCATCCCAGCACTCCAGGAAGCTGAGGAAAGAGGAGACTTGGTCTCGGAAATCAAAAATCAGCTGGGAGGTAGCTGAGTGTGAAGGTATTGGGTTCAGTTCCTAGTCACACACACACACACACACACACACACACACACAGTCTCATCTTAATTTGAAAACCTTACATTCTGTAGCGTAAGTGTAGGATTACTGTCTCCCTAGAAGAATGTACTTCTTTTCCCTGAATAAGACTGCAGAGTTATTATGGCATTATCAGAGATCCAGATTGACTTTGTTTTTCTTAAAACCAAAACCAAAAAAAGCCCTAGGTCTGCTGGATGAATATCCAGGGAATTAGGTAAGTGCAAAAAGCCAGTTCCAAAATGTTCCTGCTGGGTCAAAATGCCTGAGGTGGTGGACCCCATGGGAGGAAAGGGTTGTTTTGGCTCACGGTTCAGGGGGTTCCAGTCCGGTTCCCGTTGCTCTGGGTTGGGGTGAGGCCCAACGGCGTGGTGGAAGCCAGTGGCAGAGGAAGGGGCTCGCCTCAGGACCGCTGGGAAGCAGAGCGGGGAGGGGGCAGGGTCCTGCACGCCCTGGAGCAGTGCCCCCTGGGACCTAACTCCCCTCCTCCAGGCTGGGGGATCTGGACCAAAGAGAGCTCGTTATAGGTGGGAGGGACAGGATGGGGCTGCCAGGGAGGAGGTGGAGGGGTGTCCCTGTGAAAAGGCAGTGGGGGGGCTCTACTGGGCTAGAATGTTCTGCATTGAGACTCTGGAAATGTTAGTCACAATACTGCGTTATATCTAGTTCGACGCAATTTTGCTCGTAGTAGAAATTGGGAATAAGCCTGTATGGGATCTCTATTATTTCTCACCACTGCATGGGAATCTAGTTATCTCAAAATGTTTAATTAAGCCAAGCATGGTGGCCCACACCTGTAATCCCAGCATTTGGGAGGCTGAAGCAGGAGGATGGCTATGAGTTTGAGGCCAACCCAGGCTACATCATGAGTTTAAGGCCAGCCTGAATTACATAGAGAGACCCTATCTCAAAAAAAAAGTTTAATTAAAAGAAAACCTAAGGGCCAGGAGTATAGCTCTGGCACAACACCTGCTTGGCAAGCACGAAGCCCTGAGTTTGACTCCTGGTACCAAAAACAACAACAACAAAAACCCAAAAAACTAGTTACAGTGGCACACACTTGTAGTCTCAATTACTCAAGAGACTGAGGCAAGAGGATCTCAAATTGGATCTCAGCCTGGACAAAAATAGCAAGACCCTCAAGAAAAATATAAAAAAGAGCTGGGGATGTAGCTGCTGGCAGGGCACTTGCCGAGCATGTAGGAGGCTTTGATTCCATTTCTAGCGCTGTTAAAGAAAAAAAAAATCAAAGTGGATTGCTTACCTGGATATTTTTGGAAAGTAAAGCTGATTAAAAAAGCACAGTTGGGGAAAAAAAAAGCAAAGTTGATCTCTTCGTTACTAAATTTCATCTACAGACGCTTTTCCCCAGTACAGTCAAGGCCTGAGGCCTCCAAAGTAAAGACCTGGGCAGTGATCACCTGATCACTCACAGCTGGGGGCCGAGAACCTTAGAGCCACTTGCCCTGCCCAGGGCAGTCGCCTGCGCCAGGGAGAGACGGGGACGTCTGCGTCCGCTCCTCCAGCGCCTTTCCTTGTGGACTACACCGACTAAAAGATTGAAAATCAGTAATCAGATCCAGCCTTCTTGCCAGTTCTTCAGCGAGGGGCTCCGGAAATGACATCAATCTAAAGAGGAAAGGACAGGGCTGGGGATTTAGCTCAGCGGCACAGCGCCTGCCTGGCAAGCGCAAAGTTGTGAGTTCAATTCCCGATACCCAATACTCAGCTCATTCCTCCTGCTTCTACTTTTCCTTTTCTCTTGGTTGCTGCTTGTGTCCTGCTGTTCTGCTCCCTCCCTCGGTCGAGTTCACGCTGTCCAGGGCGAGGGCAAGGCATCCTGCTAGGCAGGAACTCGGTGCTTGCCGGTGCCCACCCCATAGGCCAGGCTGTGGCCTGGCCACCCTCCGAGGGCTCACTGGCCCTGCATTGCTGCCTTCAGAAAGAGAGCTGGGGACCCGCTGCTGCAGACAGGAATTGTTTAATAAAGCAGTAGATCATACTCTATTAAGTAGTAAGTACTCCAGTACATGTCAAAAACAAGATCAAGCCTCGGGTCTAGCGAGTTGCTAAAACAGTGATTTTAATTGCATACCTTTCCCGTCAATCACTTGCACCATGAAAATAGCTGCAGGGGCTGGGGATGTGCATGGAGTGCTTGCCTGGGGACGGTACAGTGGTGGGACGTCTGCCTGGCGTGCATGAGGCCTTGGGTTCAATCTCTAGCACTGCAAAATAGTAACGATAATGATTATCAAAGCATAAAACAGGTACTTTGCTAAGCAAATTGTTGCCAACCTCCCTACAGATGAGAATCAACCGAATGTCAAGTGCAAAGATAAAAGACTGCCAGAAGAATTCTTTACCTGTTTGTCTTTTATCCCTAGATACATAAATTTTCCATGGAATGATCCATTAATATGTGAACAAATCACTCTTAGGAGATGTATAATTTCCAAACTGAATAAAACTAAGGAGCTGGGTCTGAATAACGATGAGGACAGTATATGCTCGCCCCCTACCTTTTTTTTGTTGTTTGGTTGTTTGTTTGTTTGGTACTGGGAATTGAACTCAGGACCTTGTGCTTGCCAGGCAGGTGCTTGTATCGCTGAGCTATATCCGCAGCACACCCCCGCTTTTGATTTTTCAGACAGTCTTGCTATGTAGCCCAGGCTGCCCTTGAACTTGCAATCATGCTGCCTTAGACTCCCAAGTGCTGGTATTACAGGCACGCATCACCATGCCTGGCCCAACACTTTTGACTATTTTAAGGCCAAAAAGAACACTAGCTAAAAGTTGGCGAGCGAAGACAATTCTAGACACTTGGTTACGTAGTTCCTGATGAAGTTGTCATTGGCAGGTTCCATAAGATGAAAGTGATTTCCTGGCAGTACATGGAGGTCAAAAGTTCCACTGGTTACCATTTTCCAGGCTAAAAAGAGAAAGAAATTATTTAATAACAAATGGCACTTACCAGCTATGAAAGACTTTCCTTAAGATACTGTTTCTGTAGGAGCTGACACCCACTGATAGAGTTTCATCCAAGGGCTCAGATTCCTGTCCTGTATTTTTAATTTCTCCAAGACGTATCAGTATACAGTAGCATTACCCGAGTTCTCTCATTTTACCCAAGATCAGCACCTTTCCATTTACACCAAGTAGAACAATTTTCTACTCATGGCAGTATCTACTAATTGCGATTTGCTGAGAACTACAAACATGTATTTCAATAAAATACCCAAAATTATGAAAATAACTTCACCTTCCATATCCCCTGAGATGTCTTCAGATCCAGTAAAGCACGTGAAGTCGCAAGAAAGGGCCGCCTTAGAAGGAGTGTCAAAGCTGTGAACAGGGATTGCTGATCAGAGTTGTGTCCCGAGGCTAACATCCCAGCTCTTCCAGCTGAGACTCCTCTGCCGTGAGAGGAGGGGCCGCCCCACCTCCTCCCCTTTGGTCCGCTCCTTCCTATCAGAGCCTGCCTGAGCCTCCCCGAGGAACAGCTCATCCTCCGGTGCCTCCTAAGGTTCAGCACCTGCAGGCGGCGCTGGGGCTGACGTGGGAAGCTGATTACAAGGAGCATTTGCAGCCGTCGTGCCCTACACAGCCCGTCTGCTGCCTCCCAGCTCCCTTGCCACGGCCGCCCCTCTCAGAACCAGAGCGGGTCCCCTCCTCTGTGTCACCACAGCAGCGTGAGCCTGTTTCCTGAACCGGATGCCGGCGCTGCGCCGGACACTGGGAACCAGCGTAGGCCCTGCTCTCGGCTTGGGAGACAGACCCGTGTGAAAGACAACTGCGACAGGCGAGGGTGGGTGGGGGCAAGGTCAGCCTCCCTGGGGGAGTAGAGCAGATCTGAGGCTGGAACGACTAGGAGAGAAGGGGCCCAAGAGATGGAACAGCAGGGGAAGAGGGAAGGGAGCGAGCTCACATGAAGCTGACTGCCCAGAGAACTAAGGAGGGGAGTGGGACCGGAACAATAAGGTAGCAGAGGTAGGCAAGCGCTACTCAAGCGTAGGATACCCAAAGGGCTGTGACGTGATGTCACAGGAAGGGTTTCAGGCAAGGCACCTGCAATCAAGCCGGACGCTCATCCTTGTGGATCCAGGGTGAGGGTGAAGAGCGGGACAGGACCAACTAACGGGGCTCTTTCAGTTCCCCGGGGCCAGGATTTCACTTCTGCCTAAGATGTCTAAAACAGGAGGGCCACTCCCACCCGACAGACGCCAACCCAGACCAACTGCGGGGCTCTGCGTTTGGAAGGCAAAGGTGAAACTGAGTGCCAGGAGGGGGCAGGCACTTCTCAGGGGAGGCGGGCATGGGCATGGGCTCAGGTGTGCCAAGGATGCCAAGAAGGGTCTCTAACGTCAGCTCGATCTTCAACAGCGTTGCTGACCCCGCTCAGGGCGGGGTATCAGGTTGGGCCTTCTCTGATTCACAGGCCCTTTCCCACGGCCCCACTAAGGTTCCCGGGAAGGATGGGGAGCAAGGTGGGAGGGCAGAGAGCGTGCCCTCCTTGGGACAGGTGGGCAGCGCCTATTTGATCTATAGCAAAGCATGAAAGCTGGGGCTGGAGCAGGACCATTGAGGAAAAGTGCTCCAGCAGCCGAGCCCCCGCAGCAGCGAGGGACTCAGGGGCTGGCGCTCACAGGGTAACCATAGCAACTGCAAACCGTGGACCCAGCTCCTCTTTGCTCTCTAATGACGGAAGGAGAGGGGTGCTCACATTCGCGTCTCAGACTCATCTCAGTCTCTACTGTTTTATGCATAATTGGCTTTTGGTTAAAAAAAAAAAAATCAGACACACAAGAAAGCAAGGAATAAATCAGTCAAGAGACAAAACGACCAGAAGAATCAGGTACCTACAGACCCGGATGTTGGAACTATCAGACGGGGACATGAAGAGGGCCGGGGAGAAATGGAGAACAGTGGAGAGGCGTGGGCTATGGGGCAGGCAAGTCGTGAACGTTGTGATGGACGGAAAGTGGGTCATACTTCGAGGGACAGGGAACGGGGGGGGGGGTTGCCGCAGCTCTCTGCGGGCTCCGTGTCGGCTCCACTTTTTGCAGGTACTTGTGTAAACTTCTGGGAGCAAGCACAGCCCCTGGTGGCCCAATGCCAGTTCCAGACTTTGTGGAAGAAGTCAAAGAAACACTGGCCCAAATGTCTGTGCTCCAGGACCTGACACCAGGAGAGCAGGCCCGGGCGCAGCAGCAGAAATGCAGGGAGGTGGGCGAGAGGGACCAAGGGCCAGATGCTGGTCCCATGGTGATGCTCTGGGGCGTTTGGACTCAGAAGAGCCATTTGCAGGCTTAGGTTATTGGGAAGAGTTTGTAGAGTGCTGAGGCGTCAGGGAGAGTTGTGAATCTACATGAGTTCTGGAACAAAGCGGTAGGAAACCAAACAGCTCCCTGCATGCCCCTCCACACACAGCAGTAAGTAGCCATCCACTCCTGCTGATCCCTCTAAAAGGAGGGTGGGCATGGAGGTGCACACCTGTAATCCCAGCACTCGGGAGGCTGAGACAGGAGGATTGCTGTGAGTTGGAGGCCAGCCTGATCTATACAGCAAGACCCTGTCTCAAAAGACCAAAATGAATGAATATATAAATAAATAAATAGATGCCAATGTTTTGGCACTAATTTATTCAATAAATATGTGATAAACTATTTATGTCTCTCTATATATACTTGTCATCTTATACAGAAAGAATATTTGTGCCTGGGCTCCATTCTAAGCTAATACAAATAGCATAGATGGCCTCAAAGAAAATGAAATCCAGCACTTAAAACATTGTCTTCCCATATATGCAGCTGGTGAGAACTGCCAATCTTTTTATTTCTGTAAACACACACACACACACACACACACACACACACACACACGTCTTAGTTTCTTACCTAAATTTATTTACAATGTTCCAGTCTGCCAATATCATGGGAAGAGATTGTTCCAAAAATTCTTGGTTTTCTATGAGACGCTTTGGGGTGCCTCCAAAATCCATAACGAAACGTTTAATTTGTTCTTCCGACTTGCCATCCGATTTGGGAATCGGAATCTGGGCCTTTGACTTGAAACATCAACAAACACACGCCTGTTATTTTATGAAACAGGTTAGCTCACCAGCTGAAACCTAGCTAAGGAAAAAGTCCTTCAATCAAGGTTAAGAAATAGATTTTATCTATAGGCTTTGGAGGAGAACTATTTCTTTTCAAAAAGAGGGAGAAGAAAATTCCCCAGTATTCTAGTTCCATGCAAGGACATTCAGGACCTCAGGCCCCGCCCCCCTCGGCAGTCGGGTCTCTGCAGAGAGTCACAGGGGTTACAAAAGCAGCAGGTACCACAGCGCCAGGTTTAAAGCCGCAGTGCTTCCAAGGGTTTCACACCACTGTCCCCAATGAAATCTCAAGGGCATTTTCCGGCTCTGATTGGTTACTTTCACAGAAGTTGATTCAGTTCCAAGCTGCTCCAAAGCGAGAGGCAAAAGGCGCTGGCGATCAGTATTAGCTCAGAGGTGCCGGGACAACTCAGGCACCGATCAGACAGCTGTGCAGCGCGTTTCAGGGAAACGGAGGGAGACGGACATTGCAAGAAGTCTGAAGGATTGCACCCCCGCCATCATTTCCCTGCTGTACCGAGTCTGCCAGGTAGGAAAAAGATCGCCCGATTTCTACTCCCCCATCACCCTCCTATTTATTCCTCTCTCGGAAGAAAACTAAATCACTTACATAGGGAGGACTTGCACTTGACAGAAAAATGTGGATTGGTTCCAGCTTATGTTTTTCTTTCAGGTGCAGGGCAGTCAGAAAAGCAACATAGCATCCCATGCTACATTAGGGAAAGACAAACAGGATAGCGATCAAGACCTGTGGGAGTCCAAGCGCCGTGAGCGCAGCCGCGGTCTCGCAGTAGCCAAAAGTGTAAGTTCCTTAATAACTCTGATCTGTAGAATGACGAGTGTCAACATAAAAAGTGTCTCACAGACGTCCTGGATAGCTCAGTGTGAGAGCTGCCGAGTTCCACAGTGCTGTGGTTTAGGCGGCACTGTCCCCCACAGGTCTGCGTGTGAAGGCCTTGCTCCCCGCACGCTGCTGTTGGATGGAGACCCGAGAGCCCTGAGAGTTGTGACTGGTCATAATTATTCAACATGCTGTTCATGAGGGCGGAGGGGACAGGGGAAAAAGAATTGAGCTCTGTTAGGCACGGGTACTAATTCCCCGCCATGAATGTAATCCTTACGCACTGCAAACATGTACCAATAAAAATATGCTGCTTACTCAGTACAAAAGGTATGCATCTCACAAAACATTACCGGTGAACTTTGTTATTTTTTAGTTGTTTTTTTTTTTTTCTGGTACCGGGAATTGAACTCACGACCTTGTGCTTGCCAGGCAGGTGCTGTGCTGCTGAGCTAAATCCCCAGCCCATGAACTTTGATTAAGAAGTCCCCCATGTCCTTTGAAACAAAATTTAAATACCTATGGCCAAAAAATGCAAATGGTTTATCCTGGACAAGGGGCAGCAAAGCACAAGCGATTTCATCAGCTATCTCATAGATGTCATTCGCGAAAGGCTCTTCAGACCGATTTTCTCTTCCAGCAAGCCGTACAGAGTACACTGGAGACAGGAAACACAAGGAACAAGGAGTGAGACGTTGTGACTATATAAAAGGCCTCACAGATGGTGTGATATGAACACTTCCAGAGAAACACAATAATTGCCAAGTCCAGTGAAGTGAAAGTGTCAAAATTTGATGACAAGAAGCCAGGTGTGGCGGTGCACGCCTGTAACCCCAGCACTTGGGAGGCTGAGGCAGGAGGATCAGTCCAAGTTCGAGACCAGCCTGGGCTACAAAGTGAGCTCAAGGCCAGCCTGAACCACATAGCGAGACCCTGTCTCAAAAGACCAAAAAAAATAAAGATTGACCTGGGGGCTGGGGAGATAGCTCAGCGGCACAGCACCTGCCTGGCAAGCGCGAGGTCTGAGTTCAGTTCAGGAGTGACCACGAGAGCCAGGAACAAGCTATTGGAGTTTGCTAAATCTGAGACAGAAACTCCCAATTTTATTTTACTTTTTTTTATTTTAAAGAGAAAAAAAAATTTCAAAACAAGATAATGGGGGGGGTGAAAATGGTTAATACATTGCATATTGTTACCTTTAAATTAGTTACTCAGAGTATAAGATATCGGCATTTAATTGTCCAAGCAATATTAGCACAAACCTTTTTCAATGAACTAAGATAAATTAGTAATATAACTATAATATATATATATTTTGTTGTTTTGTTGTTGTTTACTTTTCCCTTCCTTCTTTTCTCCACTCCCCCATCCCAGTTTCTCTTTCCTTTTGAAGTTTCTTCCAATTTCCCAATGTCTACTGTACATTTGGTGTCTTACTCTTTTAGCTTCTCACACTAGGGAGATAATCCAATGTTTGCACATGTGCATCTAGTTTATTTCACTTATGAGTATGGTCTCCTGTTGCAGCCATTTACTTATAAAAGTCTCCAGTTTATCCTTCTTTATGGCTGAGTAGTACTCCATTGTATAAAAAGACCACATCTTTTTTATCCATTCCTCTGTTGATGGGCATCTGGGTTGTTTCCAAGATTTAGCTATTACAAATTGTGCTGCTGTAAACATGGGTGCACATATATTGCTGTGCTATGATGTTTTTAATTCTTCTGGGAAAATGTCCAGAAGGGGAATAGTTGGGGCAAATGGGACCTCCAGTCTAGTTTTTTGAGGAATCTCCACACTGATTTCCACAGTGATTGCACCAGTCTACACTCCCACCAACAATGGAGAAGGGTTCCTTTTTCCCCACAGCCCCTCCAGCATTTGTTATTGGTTGATTTCCTGATGATAGCTGTTCTTTCTGGGGTGAGATGGAATCTCAGTGTTGTTTTAATTTGCATTGTTCAAATGACCAGTGATGTTGAACATTTTTTCATATATTTACTTTCTGTTTGCACTTTTTCATCTGAGAAGTATGTATTCATCTCAGATGCCATTTTTGAATTGGGTCTTTGAATTTGGAAACTCCCAATTTTAAGACTTACTGTAAAGCTACAGTAATCAAGATAGCATGATATTAGTGAAAGAATAGAAAAAATTCATCAATGCAACAGAAGAGAGAGCACCTAGGAAGGACATTTTTAAGATGACAGAGAGATAAGCCACTGAATGGAAGAAACTTTTTGCAAAACACACATCTGATGAAGGCCTGAGAGGAAGAGGTGCTGCAGAGTGGAAGGCAAAACTTAAGATCCAGAGTGCACAGAATTTCTGCATATCAACAACAAAATAAGTAATTCAATGGAGAAGTAGGCATAAGGTAAAAACAAGAAGTCCAAAGAAGAGAAAATATACATAGCGAATACATATATTATGAAAAATGGCCAATCTCTCTTTTAATAGGGCTCATTAATTTAAAGAATAATTTCACAATAGAAAAACAGAATGACATTATTAAAGATACAAAGCAATAAGAATTTTCGTGTACTACTTTGATAGTATAAATCACTGCCATTTCTTTGGTGGTTCTGGGGATTCAACCCAGGGCCTTTGCACTGTGCTACATCCCTAGCCCTTTTTAATTTTTATTTTGAGACAGGGTCTTGCTAAGTTTGTTTTTGTTTGTTTGTTTGTTTGTTTGTTTGTCTTTTTGAGACAGGGTCTCGCTATGCAGCTCAGGCTGGCCCTGAGCTCACTTTATAGCCCAGGCTGGTCTTGAACTCACAATGATCCTCCTGCCTCAGCCTCCCGAGTGCTGGGATTACAGGTATGTGCCACCATGCCCGGCTCTTGCTAAACTGATGAAATGATCAGACAAGGTTCAAACTTGTCCTATCCTCCACCGTTAGCTTCCAGATGTCTGGGATCACAGGTGTGCACCACCACACAAGTGGAAACCATTGTGATTCTTTTGGAAAATAATTTGACAATATTTCTCATAGTTGAAGACATTCGTACCTTCTCACCCTGAAGTTTCACTCCTAGAGTATGCTCTCTTATCATGTATCCAAGAAGACATATATAAGAGTGCTCATGGAGCATTATCTATAATAACAAAAATTATCTCAGTGTCTATAAAAAGAAGAGATATATAGAGTTTTATAGTCACACAATGAAACACCATATAACAGTTAAAAGTGATGAAATAGAGATTCATGTAAGAACATGATAAAGCCGGGCATGGTGGTGCATGCCTATAATCCCAGCACTCGGGAGGCTGAGGCAGGAGGATCGCTGTGAGTTTGAGGTCCGCCTGGGCTACAAAGCGATTTCAAGGCCAACCTGAATTGCAAAGTGAAACCTTGTCTCAAAAAGGCAAAATAAACAAACAAAGAACATGATAAATCTTTAAAAAATAAACCCAAAATATAAAAGCAAACTTCCAAAGAATATTTCCAGTGTGATTCGCTTTGGGAAAGTTGGAAATGTGTGAAATGATGCTATGTCTTGCGTAGGTCAGTTTGAAGGCGCCAAGAGTAGAGGGTGGGTGCAGTGAGGAGATCACACCAGCGCTGCTCTGAGCTTTGAAGGGAACAAAGGCCATGGTCAGGTTTGTGATATCATTTATAAATATCATTTAAAAATGTTTAAAGGAGTGGCTTTTAATTGTGTGCATTGAACCAGCCGCTATTGATTAAAAACCTCGAAGTGCCTTCCGAAAGTGTCTGAGCACACGTCTGTCCAGGACAAGTGAGTCCCAGGGGGCGATGGTCTCATCCAAGGCCGGCCCTGCAGACCAGAGTCCTGGTGACCGCAGGGCAGAAAGGAAAGCCCCGGAAAGCTGGGGCGAGCAGATGTGTCAGGAGACAACACTTCCAGGACAGAGAAGGGCACGCTGGGAAGAGAAAACGTCTCTTGAAGTCCTGGTGGCAGAAATAAGGAAGGGGCTGGAGATAAGAGTTCCACAAGTACCAAAGAATCAGAAGATTCCAGAACCTACGCCCGCAGCAGCAAGGTGCCATTTATTGATTGAAGATGTATTTCACGATAGAAACGGCAGAGGGCGCTCTGAAAGTACGAAAACAAGTGAGCAAGGCACCCCTGGCCTCCACAAAATGACTTTGCGTGCTGGTCAGAGAATGTTGGCACGTCTCCAACAGAAATAAATCTAACGTACAGAATGTCTAAATTGAATTTTTCAACTAAGAAGATACCTGTTAAAAGACTTATAAAGCAGGAGAAAACAGACGTTATGAATTGAATCAAGCAGAAAATGAAAACTCTATCACACCGTAATTTCAACACTCTGCAAAGCTGAAACAGGAGGATCTCAAGTTCGAGCCTTAGTAGTTTAGTGAGACCCAGTCTCAATAAGGTAAACATAAAGGGTGATGGGGTGGTGAAAAGGTGCTAGGTTCAATCCCTGGAACTGCAAAGCATCATGGTGCACACCCCAGCATTCTGGAGGCTGAGGCAGGAGGATCACCATGAATTCCAGGCAGCCTGGGCTAACATAGTGAGCTTGAGGCCAGCCGGAACTAAAATCCAAACTAAAACAAAACAAAACAAAAAATCCCCAGTACTACACATTAAAGAAATAAGGAAATAAATAAATAAAACATTCTTTGGGAGAAAAACAAACTATAACTTAAATTAAAATTATGAGTAGAAATAGACAATTTCACAAAAAGCTGACAGAACACTGGAAAGAAGTTGAATGAAAGAATAAACGTCATTTCAAAAGTGGCCAAAAAATGTTTCCTATGACATAACGGATGCAAATTACTGAAAGAGGTAAAGGGAGCTCTAATAAAAGAACTAGGGAGAGGACGGCAAAATAAAGAAGGCCAGGTACAAAAGGAAGTAACAGTCATTAAACGTAGACAAAGTTCTAGCATGGGAATAAAGGGAGACCTTCAGGAAAGCTAAACAAAGCAGAACGCTGGGGAAGAACCGACTGAAATTCTTAACTACACAAACTTCCCTGAAATAAAACAGGAAGGAAGCCACACACTGAGAGAACCCATTATATGCTTGAGAAAACTGACCTCATAATAGTCAAGGTAAACTGTCAGAATCTGAAGATTAAGAAGAAAGGGCAAGCATTAAAAAGAGCGGAGTAGAGACCCCTAGCAAAGCACAGCTTCTTGGGACCTGGAATCAAGGCACCTTGAAAACAACAACTTGGTGAAGAGAAAACTAAAAAGGAAGAAGTAGATTTCTGAGAATTAGGAAGGAGCCGACAGGAAACCTGGAAACTACAGGGAAGCTGGAGAAGCAGAGCACACTGCAGGGAAAAGTGTGCAAGGCTCACCCACTTCCAGGGAGGGGCACCCGTCTCCACTGCTCAGGGAGGCCCAGAGAGGGTCAGCAATTCCCGGAGAAACAACAGAGGGAAAGCAGCATGAGCCCCAGGGAAAGCCCAGGGCCACTGTCAACTGCAAAAACAGCACGGGGTTCTACTCCTTCCACAAGCCAGGCTAGAGTTGGAGGAGTCCAGGGCAGCACCCACCATATCTGGGAGGGTTTAATGTGGGAGGGTTTGTGAGGGGGTAATTGCTGTGCACCAAGCTAGAGAACAGCTATACCTCAGAGTTCCTGGGTCACTGCACCACGGAGGCTGTGTGGGAGATGGCCACAGAGAGCAGCAGGGCAGACCTAGCTCCCTCTGAGAAGCTGCGGCTGGGACGGGTGCCAGGGTCCCGCCCTTCTTGGTAAGAAGCCGGGCTGGTTATGTGCAGCTGGCAGAGGGGCTGGGTCTGAAAGTGCCTGCACGAAGGCCGGTGGTCCGCATAAAGGTACTAAACACCTGTTCATGGAAATGGTAGGAGAAAACTTTCCAAACATGGGGGAAGAATTTTACACATAGATAAGCAAGGCGTACAGAACCCCAAATAGCATGATCAGAAAAGAACTGCTCCAGGACACGTCACAGTCAAAATTCCAGAAGTCCAACGCAAAGACGGGATCTCAAGCTGCTAGAGAAAAGAATCAAGTCACTTCTGAGGCAAAACCCTTAGAATCATAGCAGACTTCTCCACACCAGACTTACATGGAGTTATGTGCTTCAAACATGGAAACAAATTCCAATCAAGACTGATATATCCTCCAAAACTCTCGCAAAACTGATGAATAAATATTTCCATGACAAAAAGCACCTTAAAAGTTCATGACCACCAAACAAACGCTCTAAAAAATTCTCGAAGAATCTCCTTGAGGGAGACAAGCCAACGACACCAGAAAGTCCGGAATGAATGTACCAGGCAGGGCGAGCCGAGGAGCAGCAGGCTGGGCAGTCAGCAACAGTAAAAGACGCCAGGCCAGGAATACCCCGGCACCGTTCAACAGCAGCACTTACCGTGAGCAGCTCTCAGCCCCCCAGTCAAAAGACATCAATGGGAAGACGACACAAAAACCAAAAGCCAATGCTATGCTGCATAGAAGAAACACATTTAATCCAAAATGACATTCATGGTCTAAAAATCAAAGGATAGGAAACAACATTTCATGCAATGCCAGCCCCCAAACAAGCAGAAGTAGCTATCCTATTTTCAGACAAAATGGACTTCAAGCCAAAACTATTCAGAAGAGGCAAAGAAAGGTCACTACCTATTGGTTGATGGAACAATTCAACAGGAGAGATAACAGCTCTAAAAATATAGGCATCAAACAGTGGTGCACCCAACTTCATAAAACAAACACTACTAGGTGTAAAAGATCAAATAAACATGAGCATGATTACAGTGGGGACCTCAGTACCCCACTGTCACAAATTGACAGATCAAAGAGACAAAAAAATAAACAACAAATACCAGAGCTGAAGCACACTTCTGAACAATTGGACTTAATACGTATCTACAGTGTTCCACCCAACAAAGGAATACACATTCTTCTCAGCAGCACATGGGATTTTCTCCACAACAGACAACAAAGCAGGTTTAGCCAGGCGCGGTAGCGCGCTCCTGTAATCCCAGCACTCAGGAGGCTGAGGCAAGAGGCTTGTTGTGGAGTTCAAGACCAGCCTGAGCTACGAAGGCCAGCCTGAACTGCATAGTGAGACCATGTCTCAAAAAGACAAAAAAAAAAAAGCAGGCTTAGATAAACACAAAAGAATTGAAATTATGTCATACATATTATCAGATCATAGTAAAATGAAAGTAGAAATCAATGGCAAAAGAAACCACAGACGTTATGCAAACACATGGAAATTAATACCTTCCTGAATAATTAATGGGTCACAGAAGGAATGAAGGAAGAAATTGACAGCTCCTAGAATCAAACGATAACGCCAGTACCACATCCAGAACATATGGGACACAAGGAAAGCAGTCCAAGAGGGAAGACTGGCCACATCAGAAAAACAGAGCTGACCCAAATAAACAACCCAGTGCTGCCCCTCAAATTCCTGGAGAACAAATAACAATTCAAAATCAAGGCTAGCACGAGGAAGGAAATTATAAAGATCAGAGATGAAATTAATGGAATTGAGACCAAAAAAAAAAAAAAACAAAAAAAACAATACAAAGAATCTTCTTCAAAAGAACAAGCAAAATAGACAAATCCCAGCCAATCTGATCAAAAACAGAAAGACCCAAATCGATGCAATTAGAAATGAAAAAGGTGAAATTGCAATGGATACCACCAAAATCCAGATTATTATTATTTTACTTCAAAAACTAGAGCCTCAGGGAAGATCTAGGCCAACATCCCTCAATGCCTTCATGGAATTGAAATAGCACAAGTGCTCTTGGAAGCCTGCATTATTCTAATTCCAGCACCAGACAAAAACCCAACCAGAAAAGACAACCGAAGGCCAATCTCGTTAATAAACATAGACAAAAAAATCTTCAACAAGATACCGGCAAATGAATGATCGCAAAGATCATACATCATGACCAAACAGGGTTCACCCTATTTACAAGGTTGCAAGGATGATTTCAACATTAGCAAATCAGTAAATATAATGCACTATGTCACAGATGCAATTACAAGAATCACAGGATCATCTCAACAGATTCAGAAAAAGCCTTTGACAAAATCCCACATCCATTCATGATAAAAACCCTGATGTAAATAGGGATAGAAGGACCTTATCTAAATCTGGTAAAAGCTGTTTATGACAGGTCTACTGCCAACATCAGATTTTTTTTTTGTTTTTTTTTTGTTTGTTTGTTTTTCTCCGGTACCGGGAACCGAACTCACGACCTTGCGCTTGCCAGGCAGGCGCTTTGCCGCTGAGCTAAATCCCCAGCCCCCCAACATCAGATTAAGTGGGGGAAATGTTCCACATTAGTGAGAGACAAAACAAAGACGTCCTCTATCACCACTCCTGTTCAGTACAGTACTTGAAACATTAGAGCAATCAGGCAAGAAAACAATAAAAGGTAAAAGTCAAACTGTCCTTATTTGCAAGTAACACGATCTTTTATGTAGAAAACTCCCAAAGTTCCACCACTCCTAGAATTAATATCCAAATTCATCAGTGTGTCAGGATACTAAACCAACACACAAAAATCAATAGCAATCCTTTACAATAATAACGAACTCAGTGAGAAAGAAATTAAGAAAACAGTACCATTCACAATAGCATCAAGAAAAAAAAACACTTAACAATTAACCTAACCAAGGAAGCAAAAGACCTCTACAGTGAAAACTCCAGTACTCTGAAAAAGGAGACTGAAGCAGGCAGATCGAAGAGATTCCTCTGCTCCTGGATATACTGTCAAAGAAACAATACAGTCAAAGTGACCATACTTGCAAAGCTGAGTCAGTGCTGTCCCAGTCCAACAGCTGACGGCATCCCTCACACAACCAGAGAAAGCAGCCCTAGAGTTCACGTGGAGCCAGGAGAGACCCAGAACAGCAAAAGCAGTCCTGGGCAACAAGAGCAAAGCAGGAGGCAGCACAGCCCCGCTCTGAAGTTATAGGACAAAGCTAGCGTGACAAGGCCAGCCTGGGCTGGTGAGTTCTAGACCAGCCTGAGCTGCATGGTGACACCTTGTCTTGAAAACAAAATTCAACAAATGGGATCATCAAAATTAAAGAACTTCTGCACAGTAATGGAAACTTCTCTTTCTTTTGGTACCAGGAATTGAACTCAGGACCTTGTGCTTGCCAGGCAGGTATTTGTGCCACTGAGCTATCTCCCCAGCCCTTCTGCACAGTGATGAAACCAACCAACACAGTGAAGAGACAACGGACAGAATGGGAAAAACGTTTTGCCAGCTACTCACGATACAGAAGTCTAATATCTACAATATAGAAAGAACTAAAAAAAATTAGATCCCCCCACAAAATAAAAGACCCAGTGAAAACAGTGGATACCTGAAATGAACAGACACAGCTCAGATGAAGTACAAATGGCTGATAAATACATGAAAAGATGTTCCACATCTCTGACCACCAGAGAATTGCAAATGAAAACAATATTGAGAGTTTACCAGACTGGGGATATAACTCAGTGGCACAAGTGCCTGCCTCGCAAGCACAAGATCCTGAGTTCGAGTCCTGCTACCAAAAAATAAATAAATGAATAGTCTACCATACTCCAGAAAGAATGACTATCATCAAGAAGTCAGGCAATAACAAATGCTGGTGAGGCTGCGGGGAAAATGGAACCCTACTAGGTTGTTAGGAATATAAACTAGTACAACCACTATGGAAATCAGTACAGAGATCCCTCAAAATCTAAAACTAGCAATTCCACTAGACGCCAGGTGTGATGATGCACACCTGTAATTGTAGCACTTAGGAGGCTGAGGCAGGAGGATCGTTGTGAGTTCGAGACCAGCCTGGGTGACAAAGTGAGCTCGGGGCCAGCCTGAACTGCATAGTGAGACCCTGTCCCAAAAAGACAAACAAATAAACAACAACAAATTGAACAGAAACCCAGTGACCTATGGGACAGTATCTACTGTTATGCCATATAGAAATGGAAGGCGAAGACAGATATTTTCGAAGGTATAATTACAAATTTTCCAAGTTTAATAAGAATTATAAATCCACAGACCCAAGGAACTCAGTGAAATGAAAGACTTGCATGTGCCCATCCTCCACCGCGTAAGTGACTCAGACCATGATGAAAATTGACGTACCTTCCAGCGAATCATAAACCTTTTGGCCCCATTTGGCAAAATAAAGAGAGCCGCCACCCGCCCAGGGAAAGCAGATCAGCCTGAAAATGGCACCGGGCCTCGGGTATAAGCAGTTCAACACTTTTTCATCCCTAGGGAAAAAAAGCAAACACATTCCTCAAGAGAGGTATCAACTCAGTTCTCCAGACTGAATTAGGTGCGTTTTAATGGAAATCTTCACTAATTATAAGCAGCACACATGCAAATACAATGCGACTGGCATTTTTTCCAACTAGAAAGGCAAAAAGGGTTTTTTCAGTCTGTGTTGGACAATCTGAATGTACAAACTTTGGGGGACATGGCAGGAATCATCAAGGAACTATGTAGAGCATTTAGGAAGCACATTTAGTACATGCAGGGAAGCTGGCGGAACTGTTCACTCCCTTGCCTCTCCCACAGGTCGGGGAACAGTGTCCCTCTGACAGTCCAAGGTGGCCTCAACCTCAGCGCCTTCACCGCCACCAGAGTCACTTTTAAATCACCCACACGTTTTCCAGAGTTTAGATGTCTCACTCCCTTTTGAGTGTCTGATAAACTGTGCTTTTGAATCTACATATAATGTTATTGGAAACTTTATCCTGTGTACCCAGCCAGCTGATGTTTGGAAATTGTCCTTCTAAAGATCCATCCTAGA